TATATTTATAAAAAAATATAATATTTTTGTAAATGTTAAACTTCTATTTCGATCTCTCAATTATTGTACGAATTACTAATTAAATCTTTCAATTTAAAAAATCCCTGATTCAATCCCTATTATTTACTATTTCAATTCCAACTTAATTTTTTCATTAAAAATCCACCTACGTGTCCTATTATTTGATGTGAGAAAGATGACATGTAAAAATATTTTAACATTTAGGATATCCAACATGGCAAAACAATGATGTGGCAAGAAAAAACTTTAAAAAATTTCCTCTTTTTTTTTCTTTGTTTTTCCTTTTTTCCTTTCCTCTTCCTCTTCCTCTTCCTTTCCTTTTGCCGTATGCAAACCCTAACACCTTCTAATATTAAATCTAAGCATAACATAAATATAAACCTAGAATCTCTCCAAGATAGTCAGACCCTAAATTCTTTCTCTCAGTCTCCCAAAAAACCTAAAAAAATTAATGCATCTTCTCCCAAATTTCTACAAAAAATGCAATTAAAGCATCTTTGGAGTCTTTCAAAGCCAGCGCCAGCAGTTCACTGGGTTCTGCTAGGTTTGATTGAACCTAGCGAATCAAAGGTAGTAGATCAGCAAGCAAGGATCTAGGGAAAGAAGATGAACAACAAAAGAGGTTGGAAATGAAAAAGAAGGGGTATTGAAAGGAGAAAGGAAAGAAATTGATGTGTGGTTGAATATGAAGGTAAAAATATAATTTTAGCTTTATAATTACTTTGAGATATTTTAATTTTTAACTGAAAATTACATGTCAAGTATTATTTGTTATACTGTCATTCCTACATATCAAAATATTTTTACACGTCATCTTTTTCTCATCAAATAGCGAACAAATTTTTAAGAGAAAGACTAAATTAGGATTAAAATAATAAAACAATAAAAATCAAATTAAAAAATTTTAGATTAAGGGACTCAAGCAAAAATTTATACAATAGTTAAAAGACAAAACATAAAGATTTAACCTTTTGCAAAAGATGTATAACCATAAAAAAGTAATAAGGAAGTTTGTTAGAAAGAGATAAAAGATTGAAAAATAGACACTTACCTAATGTATAACCATAAAAAAGTAATAAGGAAGTTTGTTGGAAAGAGATAAAAGATTGAAAAATACACTTACCTAATTCAATTGCATCAACCCTAACATACAAATCTTGTCCATCATCATTATAGCTCCTAGTATCCATCAAATCACCATGCCACATCAAGCAACCAACCCCTCCATTACTCTGATAATATGCGCTTGCATAAGCCATGCATGAACAATTCCCCAAGCAAATTTCTCCACATTGTTTCAATCCCAAGCTCACGTTTGCACGTACCACCGAAGTATTCGG